GCCATTAAAAGTGAAGCGCTGTGCAAAGACGACGTACAGCCTGTGCCTACCGCTGCGTTAAGCCACCCAAAGTTTATGTTTGTTCTGCAGGAAAATAAAATGTTCTGTAGAAATAACGCCTGTAGCTCAGTCCCAGATAAAACAGTTTATCCCGGGCAAATTCAGGTTAGACCTCAGCGCGACAAACACGGTTATGTGTGGATGTGCACTTTATATATGTGTTTGTGTGTATGTGTGAGAGAGAGAGCGAGTGTGAGAGAGAGAGAGTAAATAACGAGAACAATTATAATGGACCGGTAATAAACAATTGCAGTTGGGAATGGCACGAACTCTGTGCATTGGATTAACCTCGAATGACCTTATCACAATTGTATTTATCCAATTTCATAACAGGTTGCTACTGACAAAAAATAAAATAAAATAAAGAGGGAGATAAAAGTAGATTATTGACTATGTTTATTTTTTATTTTTATGTTTTAGAAACGCGGTTGTTTAAAAAATCATGTAAATTTGTAATCATTTCATTGCACAACACTGAAGCCAATGTATGGGAATTCTTGAGGAAGAATGCGGTGTGGAGGACTTGACTCCACAATGGCAAGGGGTAAGAGGAAAGGTAAGATTCGTGCATATTATTATGATTATGACGATCATTAACTAATATGTGTCATTATGGTGCGCTGGGATCCCATTAGAGTGGCTGGGCCAAGTGCATTTTCCTACTCGGTCTAGCATGTAATGATTCGGTGTAACCGGATTCTTGAGAAAGGACAGGTTACGTAAACATTTACTGATGTGGAGTAACTATACTATTTGTACTCTGATATGCAGGAAGGAAAGTGTTGATTAACACAGAAGAAAAAAAAAGCGAAATTAGCTGATTGCATGCTCATAAGTGCAAGCTGTCATTGAACTGCTTTTAAAATAGACACAGCTGGGTGTTTGTGTTGAAAAATTTCTTGTGTTTTTGCTAATACTGAAATAAGCATGATTTTGTATACCAAACATTTTCAGATCATTAAAATTTGTAATCTGTGCTGGTTTTAAACACAAAGAAAAGAAACAGATTCATTTCGCTGTAAAATTTGCTGATATTATATTAACTCAATCAGGTCTGTACAAATGGTGTATTGTGCCTTATCAAATCTCTTTGATCCATTTAATACACAAAGTGCCAAACGTGTGTATTGTTTGTTAACATTGAACGTTTTATTCAAATCCCAGCTCTGCAGCAAACTGGAGGAGTTCTCGTTTAATGTAACACTGACATTGCCTGTTGAAATTTTAATGCTCTGAGGTGTTTCTCAGGTCAAAGCTGAGTTTACTTCGCGTTGTAATCGGGGATGAAAACGTAGCAGGGAAGAAAATAAACGTTTCATCCTTTTGCTTTTCTGAGAAAAGGTCTAATACCGTGCTTTTAAAACGTTTGGTGATCTCGATTTAACACTCAGTCATTTGTCACGGCAGCAGAATAAATCACTGTGCACAAACTTAGGATTTATATTATATATATTTTTAATGCCGTGGATATACAGTTCTACCAAAAAAGGAAATGTTGTGTCCAATATGTAGTACATATCGTTCCAAGCCCTTGAGATTAATTCACTGTTTATAGGACAGAAAATGATATGTAAGAGAAGCCACGTCAATTATTATTTCTGCTGGACTATAACTTTCGAGTCTGGCCATTTTTTCCTCCCCAGAAGATTGTCCGTTTATAAAACCGGAGATATTTACTTTGGAAACGCGGAAGTCTTGCTCTAATGCCAATTCTTCTCTTAGTTCTGACCTGGCCACGACTCCCATTCACTTCAGTGTTAGCTTTGTATGTTGGAGCCCTGAATAAGTGGCTGCTTTGACCCCTCAGCTCCGCTCAAACTCGGATTCTTGTCCGTAACGGCAGTATTTTTTAATGTGAAAGTTTTTGTGGGGTGTCTGGAGAAAAAGCTTTTACGGAGGTTGGGAGCGCACGGCCCCAACCTTGTGAACCACGGCGAGGTGTGAAGCGGAGCCCCAGCTCTCTGCAGAGCGTGGGTGCTCCCTCACCTGCGCGCTCGCCCTCGGCCGTGGACTTGCTGCGCTGAGCGCCAGGGATGGGCTGGGGATGTCCGAACCCGGGATGGAGGTGAAGACCTGAGCTGAAACGTCCTGGCTGAAGCGCCATTCGCCTGAGTGCCAGCAGTCTCCACAGAGTTCCTGGATATAATTCGCACTGATAGTGTTTCATCCGCGCACTTTTCTCCCTTACATTTTTTTTAAGAATCAGAGGCCGAAGGAAAAGCAGCCCGTCTCCACTGTAAGCCCAATGGATACAGATAGGGTGCACCCCCTCAGCTGTAGCCTACAATCCCTTTTCACACGGCTATAGCGGCTCTGTACTCCCAGGCTTTTTCAAGGGGTTAAGCTGCTAAAATGTCCTGACAGCTTAAGAAATGAATGAGGGTTTTTTCAGCCATGAAGAAAGGGTATTTAATAACCACGCTTCGATGGCATCATGCTTACATGAAACGAGTCAGGACACTTAGGTTTAACAATCAGTAACGTCGCATTCGGTACAGTAAATGCCTGGATGTACGCATATATAATTCTATCCCCCCTTGACTCTGAGCTTGCCTTATTTATCCCAGGTTACCTGGGCAATTAAGGTAAGGACTGCTCAGCAGACACCGATACCCCGCTGCTCAGGCATGGCGAATGGGGACGGAGCAGTGCGCTAACAAAGAGAGAGAGGTGGTCAAACAATTTGAAGAGGGGTGAATGGGACTAGAGGTGGATGGATGGATGGATAGATGGATGAATGGAAGCAAAGAGGGAGAGGAAGAAGTATTCAGCGGTCCACCCTTATATCCACATTTGAAAAATTAAGTTTAGGTGTCTGTCTCTAGCCAACTTTCAGTTAATCCGTAACAGCTGGTAGTGGTGCTAACGTCTAGTGATTAGAAGTTACTCTATTTAGCATGCTGTATCCTTCTTCCATGGGTTTTGGTTACAGGTTATACGATTAGGATTGCGAGAACAGTAGTGAACTAAACTTCCCAGTAAGAGGTCTTCACACCAGGGAAGTGTTACTTTGCTGCAGCAGCCCTGCCTCGTCAGTCATTAGGAAGCTGCAGGTTGTCAGAGGCTTCTCTTGCGCGCACACACGCGCAGACACACACACACGCACACACACAAAACCACAGCACTAAAACTAAATTAAGAAGCCGATGATTAAGACAAGCGTCTACGAGGCCTGTCATTTCAGCATCCTTCCATCATAACATTGTGGCACCAAGAAATTTGCTTGAAAACCCTGGAAAAAATGTCTATGGGAGAGCCTTGTATTTGAGATAGCTTAAATGTTAGCATCAAATGTAGACTGGGAACTGCCTCGGATGCAAGATAGTATTCCAGAGAGGACACAAGTGCTGCAGAGATCTTTGGGCTGTCCACACACTCCTGAAACTCGGGTGAGTATCTTTCCCTTCTATTGAAGCAGGTACGCAGGCACTGTGTGAATCGAACTGGACCATGTTTGAAATCCGCAGCTATGTTCCTTTCGGAGTCTTCGGGGAACTCCCCCTAAAGATAGATCTGTAATGAAAAGTCCCTACTGGATGACTAATGGTTATTGGCACTCAGTGCCCCTTTAAGGAGAGCAGCACATATTGTGCCAAAGACCTTGCAAGCACCCTTTAAATACAAACATTTTAAGTCCCCCTCCCATGCATCCCCACCCCTGTTGTTTTCGGGCTAGTTGTGTTGTATCTCCTCTTCCCCCCTCCTTTAAGCTCTCTCGTCTTCCCTCTCCCCACCCCCATTCAGAACTAATTGCTCAGTTGCTTAAATGTTTCAAGAAGAGCTAAATTTCTCCATCCGATGATCTTTTGAGAAGCTGCACTGTACCATAAAGAACAGCCAGCGGGGCACTGTATACCTTTGAGAAGGCTGCGCAGCTAGAGAAGAGAGCGCGTTAAAACAATGCCATTCATCGACTAGGTGCAAAGAGTTCCCCTAATGCTGAACTTTAGGAAGTTTCTCGGACGGTAGGGGTTGCACAGAAATGTGGAAACGGGAAGCTGTTGCTGCAGGGGACAGCTTTGCTGGTGCCGTAAGCGTAAGACAAGACAGAGCAGTGACAGAAAGAGATCTGAATAAGCATCGGGGGCTGCGTTTTCCACGGCGGCTACACGGGGTGGAGAGGTCTGAATTTAGCTACCTTTATTAGGAGCTAAAGCTTTGATTTATTTATTTATTCCTATATCTGTAGAATAGCATCCATAGAAAGCCTACCTATAGAAAGTAGAGCATCCATTAGATTTTGTGTGTCAGAATTTTTCGAAGCAGAATATTTTTACACTCTCTGCCAACTTCAACGTTAAGACGTGCCATTAAAAAAAAATCCTAAATTTAGACGTACTTTTATATGCGTGTGTTTAAGAGTCGTCACACCTGCCTATGTAATACGTCCCATCGCGTAACAAAAAGAAAAAAAAAAAAAAAAGGAAAAAAAAAGCTCTTCCTAATTTAAGAATCTAAACGGAAATTAAAATATCCCCTAAGAGTTATCCACAAAGCTATGCAGGCGATGACAATAAGACGTGGGGGAGAATGGGCAGGTTAAATGTCGCATGCTGTTCTCGAGGTTTCAGTACATCATTTTATTTTCTCCAGTATTTACTGGCAAAACATTCTTGGCTAACACAGCGCTTTTGCCGGAGAGACTTCCAGGTGCTCTTTGACTCCTAAGAAACTCTCGCTATGATATTTTCATGGCGTGGCTCTAAAGCTCCTTAGCCTCTTATAATCGTAATCTTTAGCGAATGACACATGGATCTGGTTTTGCAGTTTTTCGGTAACTCGAGAGGAAAGACGTCCCCCCCCGCCCCTCCGGGCCCCCCCCCGGCCCGCTCCCCCTCCCCCAGCACAAAGGCAGCCACCGGCCCTCCCCGGGGTTTATTTCACCCGAGCGCTCCGAAAAAGCCGGCCGGGCGCGGGCTCCCGGGCGGTGCCCATCCTACCTGACCGTGCCGAGCCGTGCCGAGCCGTGCTGTGCCGCGATGCCTGCTCGGCGCCCCGCCGCAGCCCGCTCCTCGCACCGCGCTTCCACCGCACCCCTTGGCTTATAGCGGAATCTCGGGCTCGGCGAGATGAGCTGCGGATGCGATTTTTAGGGCCTACAAAAGCGCAACATCCTCCCCTCTCCCCCCTCAGCCCCCCCGGGGCCTCCTTGTAACCATAGCAAAATGCTGGAGGTAGCACAAAAGACATAAACAGCTATACGCCCGTCTACGAGAAGGCACTTGGCGAGCCTCGGAGCAAAGCCGATTTCGGCTTCTCCATGCCCGGGGCTTGGGCAGGAGGAGGAGGTGCCGGGCCGAGGGGCTGCCGCTCGCTTCGGGCACGGGGTCGGAGATGCAGCTCGCTCGGGCTGCAAGGAGGCTCTGGGGAAGCAGACTTGGCTTGCTCCTCGGTCCCCGGCATGAGGAGGGCTCGCAGGAGTGGGCTCTTTATGTCGGTTGTTCTGAACACTTTGTATATTGGACAGGGTGGTCTCCGTGTTCTTTCTTTCTTTCTTTCTTTCTTTCTTTCTTTCTTTCTTTCTTTCTTTCTTTCTTTCTTTCTTTCTTTCTTTCTTTCTTTCTTTCTTTCTTTCTTTCTTTCTTTCTTTCTTTCTTTCTTTCTTTCTTTCTTTCTTTCTTTCTTTCTTTCTTTCTTTCTCTCTCTCTCTCTCTCTCTCTCTCTCTCTCTCTCTCTCTCTTTCTCTCTCTTTTTCTCTCTCTCTTTTTCTCTCTCTCTTTCTCTCTCTCTCTCTCTCTCTCTCTCTCTCTCCCTCCCTCCCTCCCTCCCTCCCTTCCTCTCTCCCCTCTCTCTTCCCTTACCCGCTTTCTCCCTCTCTCTCCTTCTCTCTCTCTCTTACCCCCTTTCCCTTTTTCTCTCTTTCGCGGAGGGAGGGGGGAGTGATGGTAAGGGGCTTGCTGGATGATTATAACTGCTACCACTTATAAATAAGTTTCTTGGGGAAGGGCTGATATCGTACCCTTGATATCAGTGGGTGTGTTCATGTATTATTTTAATATGATATGTCTTTTATACAGAGCTTGTTTTCCTCCTCCCTCCCTCCCCAGCCCACCCTCCCACCCCCCGCTTTGTTTCTGGAGTTTGTTTCGCTTTTAAAGCACCAGCACAAACAAACAAACACACAAAAATGACTGGCAACAAGTTAAATCCCATTTGTGTCCCTCCCACCGAGCACGGACGGTGCCTCGCTAAAGCCTGGGGTTTGTAGGTTTGCCTCGAAAATAATTTGACCAAGAAGGAGAAGCGGCTGCAGACAGACTTGCCGTGCAGTAACAATGCGGAGAGGAAAAATGTTGAAAGAAACATTTCTCCCGGGATGCATCTCCTTTGTGTCTTTTCTCCTCTCCATCCTTTTAGATGGGGCGCTCGTGTAGACTTGTGCGCGCACACACACACCGAGGTTTTGTTTCCTAGGGAGTTTTCAGAAAACAATGTTTATCATAACCAAGCTATAAACTCCACCTAAATAATGAAATCATGCCGTAGCTGCGGAAACTCCAACACATAAATAATTTCCATTTGCCTACTAGCAGAATACTAGGAGAGGATGGCATTGCACTTTATTTTCATGCTCATTTCCAAACATCAATAAAAGAGGCGTAGAGAAAAGGCGCCGGAGTCCTTTTCCACGTTGGACGGGATATAACGATATCCGTTTAGGAATAGATCACATTTTTCTCCCCTTCCGAGGCGAATGCAAGCTAATTTTGTGGCTATGATATACTGAATCTGCAAAAAGGCAAGGAACATTTTCTACTGAGGGTCGTGATGAAGTCTCACTAAGGGGCTCAGTAAAGGGCTCTTGGAGTGAGCCACCCGGATTCCAGTGCCTTAGCTTATCTTTGCCTTACAGTACAAAGAATTGCGGAAAAACATCCGTGTTAGCCTATGCTGAATGCACCTTAGAGATACCTTTTCACGCAATCGCACGGTTTGCAAATGATAGTTTAACTTTATCTGTTGTGGTGGGCACGTGTTTTGTCATATGAAATTAACTTGTGAAAGCCTTTGTATCATTTCTTGATTTGTGTTTGGCGACAACGCGGATCACATCTTATCGCGTTGATGGTTGATACAATTGCTAAATTAAAGGCATGTTTTCGGCTTTGAAAAACAACAACAACAACAACAAAAAACAACCCTCTGAGAGCTCATCCTTAGCAAAACAACCCAAAGAGCAGTATAATAACGCAGCTCAATATTTTCCTGAGTGTGCAGTATCTGTATATACTTCTGTATCATTCTGTGTCTCTATTGTATGTGCCTAAAGATATTCAAGTAGCTCTTGGACTCGTTACCTATAATCGTCACCTAAAGGAACATATGAACAGTATACGGATAATCGCTCTAATTGCTTGGAGGAATGTAATTGGCGTTATGTATATATATATATATATATATTTTTTTTTTTTTCTGTGTCTACCTGTTCTCCCGTGGTAAATATTAGCAATTGAACTGCTTGTCTTGACGTGTGTTACGTTTGAGCCCCACGAAGCACACCGAATCATCACAATAAAGTGATCAAACCTTATTATGCATGGCGCAGTTTTGTTTTCTCTTTTTATGTTCTGCTTCTCATCTCAAAGGACATCACGTTGAGCCAAGTGTTTTGATTTACGAGCTCCTCTGGACTTTGAGATTTTAAGTCTAAAGCTTTCAGTATGTTGGGGCTGAAATTATGATTTTCCACATTTCAAAAGGGACGAGGCTCTATTTATAAATGTTACAGAAGGTTTCGTTACTTCAGGAACAACAAAACAGGAACAGAGCTGCAATTTTCAAGAAAATAGGATTTCAAAATATAGAAATAAAAAAAAAAAGTAGTGGAGACGATGTATAATTCAATCAAATTACAGAAAATTGCTTTAAAATTCAGAACAGTAGCTATCCATTATGTCTCTGTTTTATTAGTGACAAGTACAATTACTCTAAAATAAAGAACACTGGTGAATATATAATTGGCTGTAATCATGTTAGTGTTTGAATAAAAATGACGGGGACATTTAACACTTTGACAACAAAATGTTCAGAAACAACTTATTTATTCAAACAGTTTTTATTTGCATCCACGTGAAGGAGAAACACACTTTTGCTTACGATAAATCAATGCTTTTTCACTTTCAATAAATATATAACTAAAAAAAGATTATTAATTATTTTATTATCCAAGGCTTAATAAAGTCTCCTGAGTACGACTCTATTATTATTGATTACTCAGTACCCAAAGGACGCCATCTACAGGAACAGGTCTTCAGGCTTAGCACAAATCTAATCACTGTTGATTTAAAAAAAAATAATATAAAAACAGAGTTAATATTCTTCTATAAACCCGACTCCGATTTTACCCACCGCACCGATCACAATATTTGCTTTGCAATAGCTTCTTACTATTCAGGTTGTTGTAATTTGACACAGTCTAGGAATCTGTTACAAGAGGCCTTTTCTCTGAGATACGGCATTTAAAAAATAAATTGAACTCCAGGAAGAAACACTTTTTCTCCTTCTAAAGTAGCTCTTTTCTCTCAGGGGTCCCTGAAAATGCAAAACACCCCGTGAGATCTCTCCCTTCAAACCAAGGGTGTGGAAGATGCTTGCAAAAGTGCCCTGAAAACAAAACAATTTGACCGATAGCAGTTTGTGCCATGGAATTGTGCCATAGAATTAACTAACATTTCTTTAACTTTAATTTAACTTATTTTCTTCTGCGTAAAGACAATAAATAACAGCTATCCCAGATACAGTTTCATCTGTTCTTGCAATACATCCTTTGCCCCTTACCATGGTACTTAAAGGTGCAATTTAGCTGTATTGCTCCTTTCAGAACCCTTGCTGGGAAACTCATCGAACTAGAGTGTCCTTTAATATTTTGATCAGACAACTACACACCTATGGAGGTGTGATATATCCTCCGTGCTACCACTCCAATACCCTAATTCAAACCATGAAAAATAAGAGGGAAGGTAGAAGAAAGTTTCAAGACTCCTCTTTCTGCAATATTTCTTTTTGTTTCTTTGCTTTAATCCCTAACGAATCGTTCTTCACCTACATTTATTTGTCCATTTCTTATTTATCTTCCACTCTCGACAAGTTTTCAAATGCCTGCCCTTTTGCCACGTGTGTCCCTAAGAGCCCGGATCCCAAAGTGCCCCGTGCAGCCCCTCACTCCCGTGGCGGTGAAGCGCAGCGCAGCCCGGGTGCTCCGCAGCCGGTTCCCCAACCTCTTCCCTTCCTATGCGGGTTCTGCCAGCCCTCGCGGCTCCTCGCAAATCAAGTACCTTCCCTCTGAATCAAGAATCAAGGCTTCCCTCTGTTTAACTCAGGCCAGAGGTCTGGATGGGCTTGGAAAAATTCAGGTGTGGATTAATCTGTGCAGTGAGGAGTCAAAAGCAGCGGTGCGTTGGCACAAAGGCTGGGAAAAACTACCCACGGTACACTCTCGATTTAATGCGTTGTTTTGAAAACCGAGGACAAAAGCCGTGAAACTTTATTATTATTCGTGCTTCGACTGGAACCTCACTCAAAGTTTATGCCCGAGGTCTCCCTCTATCTTCTCACTTCGTAGCACTGACAATGAATGCCCCAAATCGAGAGAGACTGTGCAGCATCCCTACTTTTAAACTTCGGGAAATCCTAAGAGGTGCGGTGCGCATCCCTTGGACCGGCCGCTCCCGCAGGACCCGCGGGTCCCTCCCCGCCGGCAGCCGAAGCGGGAGCTCCCCTCCGAACCGGGAGGTCTGTCATTTCTCGGGTGCCTCGTACCAAACCGCAGATGTCAGCCTTTCCCTACGTGTTCGGGCTGCTAATGCGGGGACTTCACACAACAGAAATGCTCATCTCTGGAGCCTTTCCCAGGGCCAGCCGCGGATTTCGCGCGTCGCCTCTGTCAAGGGCGGCCCCGGGGAGCGGGCGGGGAGCCCGGGGTGCCCAGCAATGCTGGTTCAGCTCGTGTCCCCCCCCCCCCCCGGGCGCCCAGCACCCCGTTCTGCCCTGGGCTGCCGCCTGCCACCCTTCCCCGGCCCGACCTCTGCAACTCCCTGCGGGTGCGCAGCTCCCGGGCTCCCAGCCCGACACCCCCTTCGCCGACAGCTTCCGCAGAGACAATTTGTTTCGGCCCAATTCACACACAAACTGCCTCACCTAACACCCTCCCGCCCCCCTGACACCACCCGAGGGAGAAACCCGCAGAACCCTCCCCGCCCCCGGGACCCCCGGGACTCCCCCCTCGAGCCCCGCTGGAGGGACTCCCGCCGTCCCCCTGTCCCCTCCCGAGGCTGAACCGAGCCGAGCCGTGCCCGGGCCGGGAGGGGAGCCGGGCCTCCCGCCCTCGCCGCCTGCCCGCGGAGAGGGAGCCCGATGCGAACGGCGCCGGCGACATCTAGCGGCCCGCGGTGGGCAGCGCAGCCCCGCCGTGCGCGGCCGGCTGCCGGCCCGGCAGGAGAGGCACTACCTGGGCCTCCCGCCCGCCCGGCTCCCCAGGGGTTCTCGCACCCCTCAGCCTGCGGCTTTCCCCGTGATTCTGCTAAGGAGCGGGCACCGCTCTTCTCCCCCTCTCTCTGTTTTCGCCTTCCC